GTTTCTACTTGCTTGTTCTTCATCGTTAAATGCCTGAGTTCCCGGATCTGTGACTCGCTCAGGCTCGAACTCACGAGCAGCGCCTCCCACTTTGCGTCCGTACTTGTCTTTGAATCATTTGGTGTGAGATCCACATCTGTTCTTAAACTGTTTGACCCTTCACAGTCTTTTTACGAACCGATTTGGCCTATTCCGTGCATCCCAACACGTGGGCTCTGCCATATTTCCCTGCATGCCGACTTCACTGGCCGCTGCCTCTTTATTCCGCGCATGCCGACACGTGGTCTCTGTCATATTTCCGTGCTTGACAACTTACAGCCAACGACAGTACCAAGGGCACAAATGAGAAATTTCTCGTTTGGGATGTATTCAAATAATTCCCCAGATCTCGGTCAGTTCTTGCCGGATTTGCATCAAACCTCTTAGAATAATTCGTCTGCAATTAATGATGAAAATAAATATATAATATTGGATGACATGGGGTTTCAGGCAGTTTCAGTGATAAATGGGATCTAGCGAAGCCCACACATATTCAACTCACCTTGTATTTTGGAAGGGAGAACTGACATGGATTCAAAAGCATGTCATAGAGCCAGAAGTGTCTAAAGTCCATCAGTTGATTCAATTCGCAGTATTTCCCAAACCCACTGCTGCCCATTTTCCAGAAGTGATTTCAAGCACCATAGACTAGATTATCTGAATTTGCGGCTCTATGACATGTTCCTGAATCTGTGTAAGTCCTTCCTTGCAAAAAAAAACAAGATTGTTTGATGCCTGGACCATACTGGGCTGGATTCATGCACAAAACAGCCTCAAATCCCAGATCATTCAATATTACATATTTTCACCCTTCTGCTCTAGACTCGTCACCAGCCTGCCTACGAATGGCAACAATGTGGCGAGCACGTTGCCGTAGGCAGACTGGTACAGTTCGGAGAAGTTGATTGATGTGGGCGCGGAGTTTAAATTGTTTTGCGTGCCACGCCCTGGGCTCAAATCTTCATATTTCATTTTGGTGAAAGTTGAGGAGTTGAATATCATAGCAATTGCTTACTTTTTGTCTCCTCAGAATTTTCTTTTACGGCCCCAGGTTGCTGTAGCGTGGCCCCGAGTTCAATCGAGAAAGTGATGTTCCGGTCCGAGGGACCGAGAACCGGTGATCGGCAAGTCTTCGGCACCCCTGTAAAATTACAAACTCAGGCCCAGCTCAATTAGGCTTTCCGAATTTAACCAGCCTGCCTATGGCAACGTGCTCGCCACATTGTTGCAACTCGTAGGCAGGCTGGTACCGAGCCTACTTCTGCTCTATGAGTAATTGTGTGTGAATTAACCCGTCAAATCTATCTAGATTTCATCGAAATCGACCAAGAACTGGGCGAGTTTGGAGGGATTCTTTGAACACCTTCCCAAACGGGAAATTTTCCGTCGTGCCTTCGGTACTGTCATTGGCTGCAACTAACTTCTACGTACTGCTATTTCACGTGAACATTTCGATTTGTCCTTTGTCACCATTCTGTGCATTGTCTGTTCGACCGCTTTCGCCTAGTGGAGTCGAATGGTATCTGCCGCAGTTTTATATGCACATGTCGTTGTTTTGGGCTGTTTTTGGTCTCCACAAAAGATTTGCATGGATGTCCCTCAATTCTCTATGGTTTGGGCTGAGACCTAGCTAGATCTGCTATACTAATTCATGCACAATTAATCATTCAAAGTTGCGAAAATATTTGGTCTAGCACTCCCAAATAGTGTCCAAGCAAGGCTTATATTTTGAGAGGGAGGACTTGGGAGTGTTTCGATGATTCTCATAGAGTCGGATATGCAGATATGTATTTTCTCTCGGTTGGTAGTCCTTTTCGACACATTCTCAACAGCAAATACGGAATGCAGTGTAAGCAGCTCAGCTCTTGTCCAATCAAATTGGAGTAATGACTCAAGTCAAGGTACTCAACTATCCTACCCACTCCGGTTGTGCAAAGTGTTCTACAACACTTCCACGCACTTCCTCTGGATCGGCGACTGCACGCGCCAGCTCACGGGGGCGCACGTCCGGTACTTCCGCGGGATCCGGAACCCCAATTGGCGGCAGACCAGGCGGAGGCGGACGTGTTTTGCACCGCAGGGCCGGCGCGCTGCGTGACCTCCGCTCCGACAACATACAAAACAAACAAAAAAAGAGAAGAAATGGGGGGATCTCCGGATTAGTAAAGGCGGGAATTCAAAAATATGTGCACTTAGTACTTGGTTGTTAGGCTGCTTTTTGGCTCAGTTGGACGTCCACTGGTTGCGGGCCCTAGATTGTAAACTGGTGGCGGCGGAGCTTGCTGTATTTGGAGCTCGGAAAAATCAGTTGTCAATCAGGGGGTTATTTTTCTGTCTCGCAGGGTTGTCGACTCCACTCTCTTGTCAATATCCTTGGGGGGCATTACCCTGAGTTCGGGCGGCATTCCTAGAATATTTCCAACTACGGTCGAAAATAGGAGACTCCCAGGATAATTTAAGCCTAGGAAACTGGTCGCCGGTCTTCAAACGCATCGCCGACCCAGGTCTCCGTGGCCCAGGCCCGTGGGCGCCTATCTGTTTACAGGTAAGCGCCCGTGTGCTCGATTTTTGGCGCTAAGTCATCCACGCGCAACCGTGATATATATATAAAAACTTCAAGTCGCCATGACTTGAGTCTGATACGTCCGGCTGATAATTGAACATTCTGCTTATCACTGCGATCCGACCCCCTGTCGTCACAGGTCTGACTCGCATGTCCTAGCGTGGTCTACCTGGGGCTACCTCCGCCGATCAGTAGGCAGGGCTTGTAGTCAGGGTGTCTGATATCCATGTCCTAGCGAGGTCTACCCCATTGGGTCATGCCCTGACTACGTGGCTGTACCTTCGTCATTCCCTAGTCCTACCTCGCCTTGACGTTGCCTACCCTTGGTGTACGGACTCGGCCCCGACTACATCCCTATTTGACCTTGCCGTTGGTTTTCTTTTTCAGGGCCCTGGTGATGCCGCAAAGTGGTTCCTATAGGCGATATACTGTTCAAAAATTGCGCAGATTTTACGGGGTTTTCGATATCAACTTAGAATCTAAATCCCCTGGTCGGATTACAACCCCATCCAGCTGAGTTTTAGATGATTTACATCTAGCTAACATCTTCCAATTCGGCGACATGTTTAGGTCCATTTGCCGAACCTTCCCATTATTTTGGCACTCGGCATCACTCGGCCCGCCTGCAAATTCCGTACATTTAATTACCACAACTTACCAAGTCCTCGGATAGGTTTGTGAGTGGCTATCTACTGCTTTAAAACCCGCCGGGGTGTTCCCCGGACATATAAGATGTACCTCCAGTGATGCACCTCACAGACAAAGAATTATGTTGTCCCTTATGTTCCTCTTCCAGCCCAGCTCGTGTAGTGATCTCCCAGCTCGAAAGGGTGCATGCTAAACATTTTCTTGTAGTTCACAGTCGCTGGTCATAATCTACCAAAAAAATGGTATACCTTCCGTTTGGGGACTTCAGCACTGATGACGCATCAGTGTTCTAATCAGTCCCATCATTTCAAATCAATTCACCAAGTAGAACTTCCAACGGGAAGGCCTTGCAAGTTGCTCTTTTGGCAAAATTCCTGTTTACAGTGAAAAGAAGTTAGCTAGTCATTTTTGGACAGTATATGTGCCATAGGTTCCGACGGAAATGAGAAGAGGATCCGAGGCCCGAACAAACAGGTGCAAGTTCAATTTAAACGATGTTCAACTCTTTTCCACTCCCAGCAGTGATGGTAGGACTTGCCACTGTTGCCATGCACAGAGTGGTTGAGCAAGAGCATAATTATAGGAACCCCACCTATGTCTACACCCGTAGGCAGGCTTAGACATAGGTAGACCATGGTTGACCCAGGTAGGCAGACGTAGTCACAACATCGACGGACCTTGCCTACGGGTCTGAACTCACTCAGTCAGTAGTCCTGTTGTTACAAAGGGGGCCCGATCGGGTTTCCGCTTATTACCAATCAACTCTGCAGCACTGGGAATCATCTATTTGCCACGGGCAAAGATGCAAAGTCATACTAGGCTCGTTACCAGCCTGCCTACGAGTTGCAACAATGTGGTGAGCACGTTGCCATAGGCAGGCTGGTTAAATTCGGAAAGCCTAATTGAGCTGGGCCTGAGTTTGTAATTTTACAGGGGTGCCGAAGACTTGCCGATCACCGGTTCCCGGTCCCTCGGACCGGAACGTCACTTTCTCGATTGAACTCGGGGCCACGCTACAGCAACCTGGGGCTGTAAAAGAAAATTCTGAGGAGACAAAAAGTAAGCAATTGCTATGATATTCAACTCCTCAACTTTGACCAAAATGAAATATGAAGATTTGAGCCCAGGGTGTGGCACGCAAAACAATTTCAAACTCCGCGCCCACACCAATCAACTTCTCCGAACTGTACCAGTCTGCCTACGGCAACGTGCTCGTCACATTGTTGCCATTCGTAGGCAGGCTGGTAACGAGTCTAAAGTCATACTTTACCCTGCTCGGAAGAGTTCTGTCTCTTCACAATTTTGCAAATTGGCCGAGATGTTAAGCTATTCAAAAAGTTTGATGGCCGCTTTATGAGTATTTGCCAAATGATTGATAAAAGATTGGTAATCACTGTGATTCGCCCGCCAAAAGATTGGTAATAAGCTGGAAGTCCGATCGGACCCCCCTGATAGCCAACAGACTTCAACAAGCGAGGCACGAGCTTCGCGTTGAAGCGTCTGTCTACGAGAGACTACACAGTCAGACATCTCTGACTACCCTCTGACTATGGAGGGTCGGAACACAGTGTATATGTTATATGAATCACAGACATGGGCTATCTGCCATCGAGTCGGCATTGCGCTTGAAGCTTAGTTCAATGAATGCCATTCAGACAGGCCAGTAGCGCCTGTTCACTATCATCTGCGCACAGCCTATGATATATATATATATATATATAATTAAAATTTTAAAAAACTTCAGCGTCGATGACTCGAGCCTGATTCGAACAGGCGACCCCTGCTTATTTATCTTCGTCATTTCGTGTCGACGAACGGCAGGTGCGGACCATCCGCCATCGAGTCCCGTGGTCAGCTTGCTGGTTTCTCGCCCATAATGTCGCCGTCTTCAACTTGCGCTCAAATTCCCGGTGTCGAGGACGGAGGGTCCCATGTTAATCCCTCGGCTACGGATAAACTACTGGGCCAGTTCATATAGGATCGATCCCCAGAAATCATCCACAGTATTCAGTGATGAAGGATACAAGGCGTGAGATTCGTACAAGACAGAACATATGGGTCTACGGCTAAGGGCCGGATAGACGCCTAAACTCGAACTAGATCGCAGAAATGGACTCCTAAAAAACGACGCCAGAAGATTATTAATTTTGGATCCAAGACACTCCCTGAGGCTTACCTTGGGTGGCACAAGCGTGCCATCGTCATGCACTGTCTCTGTGAGTCGGTGCATGTGAATCTGATCATGCTTGCTCAGTCAAACATCCAGCGCTGATAAGTGAAGCATCCTCATACCGCGTTCCTCGATGCAGCCGCCGAATCAAACGCTATAAAGTGCGAACCACTGCTCACGTTCGCCTTTGGCGCAGGAGAGCGAAGGCGTTGTCGGCCGTTTAGTCTGTGGGATCCAACTATTCAGCCAATTTGGTTGGAGTGTTCAGGTTGATTTAATTACGATGCAACCATGGAGTTGGCAAACACTGTTCCAATGTTGGCAAGCCAGATGTCAGGACAGAGCTGAAATGGACTCACGTTTCGCTTGCATCAGGTAGAAGATTATCCAGGTTAAATCAGTCCGGGTGAGGAACTCGGTGACAGTTGCATTTAGAGATTTTGGCAAGGATTTATGTTGGAAGGAGCTCACCAGGATGAGCTGCAAGGCACCGGAAAGACTGAGGCAAGGCGGTGAGTGAGAGGTTTACCCAAGGTTTAATGAGGTGCTGGCCTCGTTATCAACGTCGTCTCTGGCATAATTCAAGTTCAATGATGAATGAAAATTCACACTGAGGGAGATACCCACCGACAGTCCAGATGACTATGTTATCTATCATCGTGCTAGTCCTGCCAATATATATTCAACCCGTCTATCTCCTGGTTGTGGTCATTACTGTAACTCACTGTTCAAAGTTCGACTTCTTGTAATGCCAGAGGAAGTAGCACAGCGACGTTGCCGTGATGACGTCGACAAACGGACCAATTGCGGACGCCGCAGTGAAAATCCAGTGCAAGTCTGTCTGCAGCAGCGAAAACTCGGGGCGTTTGCATAACTCGGCGAAGATCGCGACGTTGCCCATGAAACGGACGAGATTGAGGACGCAGACGAGGATCGGAATTGGCCACCGATTTGATAGCACTCTCACACGAAACGCAAAGAAAGTCTGAACAGCACGTAAGTATACGGTTTGCACGTGATAGAGGAGAACACCACCTGTACAACGAAATTCACCATAGCCGAGAAGAGCACCACCAGGATGAGCGAGAACGGGGGATCCGCGAGGTGCTGTGGTTGGCCATAAAACGTGACAGTCATGGAATATATCTTAAATGAGTACAATGGAATTGAGCGCGAGATATAATTTGTGGGTCCGAACCCACCGCATGCCAGGTTAGCATTGTCTGCGTCAGCTCAAGACACCTGCGTCGAGCACCCACTCTATCAGGAAATGGTGATAATAATCGCACTCAGACGCCTGCCCACCAGATGACTGCGACCTGGCCGTTTATTGAGAACACTAAGCCCTTGGTGGGGGTCGTAGGGCAAGAGAGAGAACGTACGAGTATCTTCAGGCTTCTGGTGTCATTCTTGTAGTCGCGATAGTAGTTGAAGGTTTGCAGGGTCTCAATGCCGTACAGAAATGTCGCCAGCGCCAAGCCGATTGCGGCGTTGCCAATGGTTCCGTCGAGGGAGGGGGCACCGGACGCCATGACGGTGGAGGGAAGGGAGTGGATCCATGAGACCGTGGAGGGGTCCAGATATTTATGCTAGGCGCCTCCGGCGTCATTGCAGAGCTCACATGTGCGATGATCCTGTTAATGAACTTACCGCATAAACGTTATCCCAGATTCAATGAAGCTCAGTATATATAACCTTCACCCTCCAATAGCGATTGCTCGACGTAGGCGAATGAATCCAAATAGGGAGCCCGGTGTGGGAGCGGTGACCAAAATTATCCCGACCCACACCCACGCCTGTCCGTGGTGCCGCCTACTCGCGAGTTTGGTGTCAGGTTTCGAGCACCTCCCATGTATCGATTGGCTGGCTGACTTAGAGATCCTCAAGTTTCATCTCAGTTCCACAGCTCGTTCACAACCCGGCGAGACCTCGCCTTTAGCGCTCGATAAAGAAAAAAGGGTAAGAATCACTCGGGACGGTTCACCGGGACTGGCCCCCGGTCACCAATTACCAAATGCAGCCGGAATACAACGCGCAAACTTTTGGATCTTCGCAATGTGCTACAGCCACAAGTCAAACATTCTACATCTAGGATGACCGGGCTTGGCGCTCCGCCGAAATTGAACGAGAAGATGTTAAAAAGACTAACTGGGGCGGAAGACATTAAATTCGGTCCGAGATGTAAATCACCCCCCGAACAGCGGACTTCAGGCAGAAATTTGAACATCAGTGCAAGGAGTGACCGGGGACATCCGGAATCTCCCAGAGCAGATCTCCTCGGCGTCCGTGTGGCGGACCGGTTGTATGCCGAACATTCCGAATTGCGGGACAATCTCAGCTGGGGGAGATGCGACTTCCCGCACCAAGGACAGGGCCTGCCCATCTCTTGTTTCTTTTGTCAAATCCCAAACAGAACCGTTACCGGGATTCAGCCTTTATGAGTGTACGCTTGGTCAATTTTTTCGCAATTCAACTTAAATTCAACGATGTACACCTGCCGTCTTTGCCGAAAATTCACAACTAGAAATTTGAGCCACAAGGCCGTACTGATGTCTCCACAAGCCTGATCATCATTTCGACGTTCTTTCACTGAAGCTATTCATTCCAATGTTTCTCAACTTACTGCAGGTTTCCCAAAAGCAACGCACACATTGAGAGTGGCTGGTTAAACATAATCAGTATTTCGGTGGGTTCCACTTGAACATTTGCATTGAGTCATGATATCTCTACACCAGTGACAGGACCCCCAAACTCGAGAGTGGCTGGTTAAATATAACGGAGAAGATCCTCACGACAAGTCAAGGGAGATGTCTATCACGACCCACCTTCTGCACAGCAGTTGAGCCTCAACTGGTGATAGGTTGGGGAATTTTGGTTAAATATAATCGAGCGTCTCCCTTGTGCCGGGAGACGCGGAGATTCACTTGCACGCCCTGACAAGCATTCATCACGGCTAGGCAAGCCTCTATTGCGAGCCTTGAATAAATTTATTCTCGCTGTTCCCACTTAAATTTTAAACTATTCTCGCATCGAGGGTGTGTCATCGCTGCAAATAGGAAGGCGCAAGCCTTCAGAATGACAACCAACATGATTTCACCGATGCAAGGTCTGTTGATCATCCGAGACAGTAGAGCTTCGCAAGCTTCTGTTCTAGTTACGAACTGTCAGACTCCCGCACGGGGCAGTGCTCAGCTGATGAGCCATTCATTGCGATTAAATTATGCAACGGCCATCTTTCTTCTATGTTCCGGTTCGGCACAGTATATATAGCCTTCCTGTTTGCACATGTCGGGCCATCTGCTGTCATGGCTTCCCCTCATGTGGACCCCGCGTTCTCCACGTTCATTCCGGACGCTGTTTTCCTGCAGTCTCAAACCAACCCCACGCATCCTCTCTTCGTGTATGCCAAGCCCGATCCCTCCGAGGAAATCGTCTCTATCACGAGTCTGGAATTTGCTCGTGCCACTCATCGTGCTGCGCAAGTGCTTCGGCCGAACCGTGAAGGCCAAGATGGCCAGGTGGTAGCGATTATTGCGCTGGCAGATACATTGCTGTACCAAGCTCTGATTGTCGGCCTCATGACCGCCAATTTGGTTGTACGTCGTACTTTCAGATGTTGTCTCACACTTTTACTCATTCATCGCTAGCCCTTTCCCATTTCCCCACGTAACTCACCTACCGCAGTTGTCAGCCTCCTGCGCAAATCGTCTTGTCACCGGATTTTAGCCACTTGCGCCACTCTGAAACCTCTTTTTGCCGGCGTCCAACAGGAGCTTGTCCAGACTGAACCCAACTTCAGCCTCAAAATCGAAGAGCTTCCGTCCCTCGCACAAATCTATCCGAATCTTGGCTCCGAGACAGCAGATTGCGCGTTCGAGCCCTACATGGCACAATCCGCCCCGCCGTCGTTGGACGACCTATGCATCTATCTTCATTCATCGGGGAGCACTGGGCTTCCGAAACCCATCGCTCATAGCCACCGAACCTTGATGCAATGGGCTTCGACTGGTATGCCACTGTAATGCCCCGTGTATCCGAGTTCTCACCCACAAATTCATGCAGGCCCGGTTGAAGAGATACGCGACGCATATCCCCATCCCGTTGCGGCGATGCCTCTTCCCTCGTTCCATCTGATTGGGATCTATGGTCTTCTCTTGAAGCCTGTATATGGCGGAATCACAATTGCCCTGTATCCACCCACTGCTCTAACCCCAGAGGCGCTCCCTATTTTCCCGTCGCCCGATAACATTTTAGCCCATACGCGCAAGACTCATTCCAAAGTCATGTTCACCCTACCCGCATTGTTGGCCCTCTGGTCGAACTCGCCCGAAGCCATCGCCTTTTTGAAGACGCTCGCATTCATTGTGAGTCCTCCGCTTGAAAATTCCGCCTCGGATTTCTTCTAACGTACGAGGCCAGGCGTTCGGCGGCGGCTGTCTCCCTCGGCGCCTCGGAGATGCTCTCGTCAGAGCAGGGCTCAAAATTCAAACGGTTTACGGTGCAACTGAATTCGGCACAATTTCCTCGATGCTTCCCTACCCTGAAGACAAGCACGAGTGGGAGTGGTTCAGATTCTCGGACAAAGTCAATGTACGATGGATGCCGCAAGGCGATGGGACGTTCGAGTGCCAGGTCCTTGTGAGCTGACTCTCTTTCAGCACTCTCCTTCTCTTTC